CCCGAGAAGGGATATACAGTGGTCAACTTCCTTTTTTAATAAAAAAAAAAAAAAAAAAAAAAAAAAACTCTTTAGAAAATTCCATACCAAGAAGTCATCTTCTGGTAAAGCTGAAATAAATACAGGCTCGATGGCTTGTAGAAAGTCAAAACCTTGAGTTGCCCACCTGTGCATGAAAAAGTTCAAGAAAATGCTAGAGATTTCAGTCTAAACTTTAGAAAATTCCATACCAAGAAGTCATCTTCTGGTAAAGCTGAAATAAATACAGGCTCGATGGCTTGTAGAAAGTCAAAACCTTGAGTTGCCCACCTGTGCATGAAAAAGTTCAAGAAAATGCTAGAGCGATTTCAGTCTACACAATACTGAAAGGAACGTAATTGGAAAATTACTCCCTAGAACAATCACATTTTTTGTTTATATAAATGTCTGGGATTGAGTACATTTATAGCATGTTTGGGGAAAGACAAATGGCTTCTTAATAAAGAAACGAGTTACCAATTTGTTTTCCACTTACACAAAGAATGGGCTTAAACCGATAAACTCCTTTACATATCATTCATTTGGGGACAAATTTTTTAGAAGTTTTCTAAGAGTTATAAAGTTTTCTATGTAAATAGGTCAATTAAAGAAAATTAAAAAAAAAAAAGCTGATCACCAAAGAGTTCAAAATTCTCCTTTTCGTGTCATCTGTTCAGAAACCCCGTGTAAAACAGAAGGAAGTACCAACCCCACAGGCCTCGTGAACACACCCTACGCGGTCATACCTGGGTCTTGTACCTCTACCACTCTCACACTTAGTTAGGACGTAATTCATCCATTTCCGGGCAAAGCTTATGTATTTGTCTCCTATCTTCTGTCTAAACTCTCCAGACATCAAACGAACCACTTCTTTATGATACTGTAAGAAGATTTTATGCATATCAAAGTTAACAAGAAAACGATTATACAAAAACCTAAACACTATTAATGCTATATCTGTTTAAAATGTCATTTTTCTAAAAAAAAAAAAGCAAAGCCTGATTAAAATTGACATATTCCGAAAAAAGCATGACAAGCTAGAAAGAATATAATGTCTTAAAATGCAGCTTCACCAATGTTTTACTCCTAAGTTTAAATTAAGAATGTTCTTTTATGATATTAACCATCTCTCAAAGAAAGTTTTTAAATGTAAGCAGATAGCTATTAGCACAAAATAAAAACTGGGCAATCATCCAACACTTTAAAAGCAAACCGACATTTCTCAGATTCAGTGATGGTGTAAGACGACATTCTTAATTAACTAAGCTGTGATTACAATCAACAATCAGATTTGCATTTGACTCATAATGCTTATAAGTAAGTTGCAGAGCAATTGCTAAGTTGTACTGTTTTTCCTCTTATTTTGTACCTACCTCAAACCCAAAATTGTATCCCTGAATCATAGCTTCTCGGTAGTACTGCTGCAACGTGACAGACTCAGACTCATCGACTTCAGCATCAAATTCTGAAGTGAATATGTGGTCCACTCGGTCGATGGCATCGCTTATTCTGTTGCAAAGCTCTAACGCATCATTCTAAAGAGTCCCAAACCATAATTAATCCAAAATGAAGCAGATCCCATAACACTTATTGTATTTTAGAGGAAGATTTTTTTCATCATCACACAGATATAAATCACTACGATATTTTTTTGGCCATATTTATTTCTGTTACTCAAAAGGAATGACCAAAAATAGAGGAAATTATATCGTCTTCGTTTTTATTTTTATTAGGTATTCTTTAACATCTCATGAAATACAAAAGGAAGAAATTCCATTTAGAAGGACAATGCCTGATCACGACACGGTCTTTGAATCAATGCTCACAGTGTCGATGTTTTTACGTATCAAACACCAGTTGTTTTTCCTCGCTGGGTCGTTGCTCAAGTCTAAGTTTGGTTTCAATGCCTCCCCGTGAAGTAACGATGTATTTCTAAATGACCTCCACAATATCATCACGTCATACTGCCCTGCTTATCCACCCCGCCTGCCCCTAGTTCAGGGGTTCTCGACTTGGGCAGATTTTACCTCACACACCCCCAGGGACACCGGCAGTATATGTAGGTATTTTTGGTTATCAAAACATGGAAGGGGGAGTAAAATCTACTGGCATCTACTGAGTAGAGGCCAGGATGCTGCTAAACATCCTATAATACAGCGGTCCCCAACTTTGTGGCACCAGGGACCGGTGATCCTATGAGAACCTGATGCCAGATGATCTGAAGTGGAGCTGAGGCGGTGATGCTAGCGCTGGGGAGCGGCTGCAAATACGGGTGAAGCTTCACTCGCTCACCTCCTGCTGTGCAGCCCAGTTCCTACCAGGCCACGGACAAGTACGGGTCCGCGGCCCAGGGGCTGGGGACTCCTGCTGTAATACACAGGACAGCTAGCTCCCCAAACAAAGAATTACTGACCCCAAATGTCAGTGGTGTGGAGGCTGAGAAACCCTGCCTCATGCAACCTTTGCTGTCTCCCTAAATGGGCTCCCTTTCTGCCCACCCTTAAACACACACATATGCACACGTGGTCTCCCTCAGGCACTCTCCTTACACGGTGTTCCATAATACTCTTCCTCAATATTCAACAACTCCCCAAGGTTTAGAAAATAAAATCCAAAATCTCTCAACAATCTGATCTTTGCCCACCTGATCCTACCTGCCTCTCTCTCACTGCCCTCCACTGTACACACCAAGGTCTGACCAAATCAGACTCTCTGATACCCAGTGAGCATTCCCATAACCTGATCCAACTGGCATCTTTTGAAATCCTCCCAAACTCAAATGCCTCCATGTTGACAATTCTCAGATGTTACTAGAGTGTCTAATTTCCCCCTTCTCTGTTGTTGAGTGTGACAGTTCACATCCTTAAGGTTATAAATTTCTTAAGCTCAAGAAGAATTAATGTCTTAAAAATTCTGCACTCTCCAGAGTTCACTGACTCAAACTAAAAGACAAAAGCCCCCTGCCCTGGGATTAGAATAGGATGACAATCTGTAAGAGGGAATGTTGATAAATGAGTAAGACAAATCAGACTGACAGAGAAAAACATGCTTATCAAACTACTGGTAACTTTGATAAGTGCTTTTTCCTCAAGAAATCAAGTCTTAAAGTGATTAGAAGATGTAACTGGTGACCTGTGGCAAAGTGTGGATGAAACCAAGCCTGATTAATGGAAAGTGGTGGAAATAAGAAATAATGGGAAGGGAAGGAGGACTTCTGGCCTGCCATGGGTGCTGACGGCCTCTGTGACGGTCTACAACTAGCCCTCCCTATTAAAACTGGCTGAATTATCCGTTAAACAAAACAATAAATAAATTTTTTAATTACACAATGTTGACTTGGAAACTACTCTAGTAAATACTGGTAACTGCTAAAGAATAAAAAAAGTGGATTAGGAATGAAGAGACCTAAATTCCAGTATCAACTTTACTACTCAACAGCCACGTGACCACTATAAGTCACGTAACTGTTCAAATTTCTATCCTCTCCAATTCTCACATTCTACAATTCCAGGAAAGAACCGGCATTTTCCACTTCCGCATGGGGAAATGTGTACTGGGAAGACAGGCCACCTACGAGCTCAAGTCCCTTGAACGATATTACATCACGACACATTCGCTCCTCTCCAGCGTCACATCCAAACGCAGATAAATGAGCTAAGGAAGAGCTGACAGTGAACTACCTTGAGCTGCTGCAAAGCCTTGGCGATGACCGGCTGGCTGGACGTCTGTTCCTGGCGTAGAGTCATCAGTCCCTCGATGGACTGCTGGAAAGCTTTCCTCTGGATTATGAGATGAGCAGACTGCGTGACAACTAGTAAAAGATTATCCACCTGGGAGGAAAATCAAGCCTCGGGCTTAAAAACAGACCAGTCACTGCTTCCCCATTCTAGTTCAATCCCCAGTCGAAAATCAGCGCCAACCTCAGGGTTACTAGGCCAGCAGCCCTCCAATCAGAGAGCAGCCGGCAAGCACAGCCACTCCCACAGAGCAAGGCGATGCGGTGGTCACCCACGTGTGGGACCTTCCGCACGTGGTGAAGAACCCCACAGGACCATGTGGGCACAATGTCTGAAATATCCTAGGGCTTCAAACAACTCGACACTCTTGGTGCGGAGTCTGTGCGTCTGTGCTGGCGCAGCACGTGCAGACAGAGAACTGAAGAACAGAGTGGAGTGGGGGAGGGGGGGCTTGTATGAAACAGTAAAAAGCCAAGATTTTATTATTTTTACTCTTTAAGTGACAGTCACTGCGGTATGCTGAGATCTGTGATGTCATCAGATGTGCGTATGATAACGATCGCGCCGGAAGTACCAGACACAGACACAAACAGGGAGGTGGAGGGGGCAGGGGAGGGCTGAGCAGGAAAGCTGCAAGTGGGACCTATGACAGTCCTGGAAGGGGGAAAGGGGTCTGACCACAGGAGTGGCTTTGGGGACACTGAGGAGGGTCAGTGACTGGAAATGGTTGGGGCTCGTGAGGGCTAGCGATCGACTGGGAGGGTAAGAGAGGCAGCTCTGTAGAGTGGAGGGACAGTAGCCTGGCGTGTCCGGCTCCAGTCCCGTGGAGCTTGAGATACACAGGAGCACTCACCATCACTGTCCCCTCACTGAACAGAGGCCATGAGAAAGCTTCTTATGGTTTAATCACTGAGTTACATAAACTGTCATGGGATCCTGCTAGCTGGGTAGGTGACAGCCTTTGCTACAAAAATGAAAATTAAGAAGCCAAAAAAACAAGAGTTCCTAGAGAACTGGAATTTCTAGAATTACAAATTAAATGAGTAAGGCAATTAATTCCTTTTAGATCATGGATATATAGACCTAACTACACGATGGAACTGAGGAAAGATATAAATAAAATAGTTCAAATATTCCAGTATAATTTAACATACCTAAAGACTTCGATAGAATATTTTAGTTTAAGTAACGCTACAAAATTTTCTATTAAAACATCAAGGCATATTTTTGGGATGTGTCTATTTGAGACTACTACAGTAGTTAAATCATTCATGAGCTGCTAATAATTCATTTTTCCTAAAAGTATTTTAAGTAAGAAATACTGCTTCGAGTCAGGGGTGGGGAATGGCAGGTGTGGGACCCGGGAGTGAGACACACCTGCATGCTTCTCAGGGTATCGACAGTCTCCACCTGAGGCACAATTTTGACAGGTGGTGCCTCCCATGTGGCCCAGCTGTCATCCAAATCCCGAGCGCGGTCACTGTGCTTGGTCAGAAGTAGATAGGCGTCCATCAGTACATCATCTGAATCTTTGGAGCAGTCCTTGCCTGCAGCTGCATTGAGTAACTGCAAAATAACAGTCTTCTCCTCAGCAAGAAAGTCTGGAACAAATACTTGCAAGTTTTCTAAGCCAGGAATTTGGACCTGGAAAAGAAACAATCCAAAATCTGGAATTAAGGAATGTCAACATTATAGAAATGTTATTTAAAAAAACAAACTAGGAAAAGACAAGCAGGATTGGGGAAGATGTGGGAGGGACGTCAGATCAGGGCAGTGAGGGGAAGGGCAAGTAGTCCAGCTCGGTGTGACCCGCTGTGACTGTGACTGAGTGCAGACAGGCTGCTGGGGGAGCCCTGGAACGTCCCTCCACTCACAGGACACCCTCTCATTTCTTTATTTTCAACAACAAAGAAAATACTCTTCAGGAAGGAAGGTCAGCCTGAGAAAAACCTCAGTCAGTGCTAGTTTGCGGAACAGTTTTCAAGCGAAGCGGCTCCCAGACAGCAAAGCCCTGACGTGGGCACTGAGGGCCAAGGTCTTCAGTGCAACGATGAAGGAAGGACCCGTGAGACTGGGCAGACACCTGACTCAGTTCAAAGGCAAAAAATGTTAATACAGATTCGCTAATTAGTTTTGGTGGGGGCATCATAAAAAGCCTCTGAAGATCGTTTTAACAAGGAATACAGATGCAAGTATGTCATGCAAGTCACACATTGACGGGGGCAAAATGTAATGGTGGCTTTGGGTAAAATTTCTAGTAACGTCATCACAGCCAGATGCTAAAAGTACTAAATCTCAAACAACTGAAGTGGGAGCAAAGGTGATGACTCAAGAAGCGGCTCCCGTGACGTCCAGGATACCGATACCAAAAACTCGCACAAAACGCTTGAACTGTTTCAGGAAACATCAGAGTGGAAAACGAACAATTACTTTTAATCGACACGTTATTTTACATACATTAAATATACATGTGTAACTAATAAAATATATGAGTAAATACTTGATTATTTTATCCGCATTTTGAAAACAAGTTGATAAGTCAAAGTATGAAAAACTTTGTTTTTCTAATTATGTCATCGGGAAATTGTGGGATAGTCCCATAACCGGGGTCAATGCATGGCCTGCAAAACCTGAAATATTTACTATCTGGACCTGCTTTAGGTAAAGGAAGAAAAACAAAGTGTGCAACTCTACTACCTTAAACACTTACCTTAACGTACTGTTTTGATTTCAGAACTTCCAGAAGGTCTCTAACTGGAGCGGAAAGTATGAACTCGGCAGCTATTTCCAGGTCCTAGGATCACAGTGACAAAGAAACTTCTTTAGGGTTGGCTTCTTAAAAAGCAAGAAAAAAGAAAATCAAGAAGCCAGTAACAATCATCCGGATCACCGACTCACCTTTCTCAGCATCTTGGCAAAGCCGAGAGCTTTGGAGGCCCTCTCTCTGGCTTCGTGAAAGAGCTCTTTCAGGGCCCGGCTGATCTCTATAACAGACCTCCTGCAGGATGATTGCCGGCCCGTTAGAGCACACCAGGGCGTGCGAAGACATACGGAACAATGAGACAACGCAAATCACAAACCACGTAAATAAAGACTGAAAATTTTATACATGGGAACAAACAATTATCAAGAACGTGTTCAAAATATTCAGAAGCTTGCTCTCCAGTCTTCCAGAAAATACTCGTATCCTAAATAAGCAGGGCACAGTTAATCACTTTTAAATGACAGTAAGCTCAATTTTCTAAGGATTTTATTATGATAATTTCCTGGAGTTTGAGATAAGTCCTTGACTCCCAGCTCATAAGCTAACTGAGAAGACATATCTCCAGTGGTGCCCAGGTAAATGTTTAACAGCTGGCTCCGCCCAAACTACTGTCTTACTTGGAGTTTGGTGACTTTCATGGTATAAATACTCCCATTGTAGCTGATTTCAAGCTACCAGTGTGACACTACTGAGCGATGACTTGGGAAGAGATGTGCATAGTCGCCCGCTGCTCCTCGGGAGCCAGGACAAGCCAGCGCCCGCACACCACTGCACCGAAGCCCGCTTTCCAGACCCCTCCCTAATAAGCTGCTGGAGCGTCAGAAGAGCCATTCTCCAGTCACCATCCTAGCTCCTGAATCCCCGTTTTTATTCTGAATCCACCACATTACCTCTCAAAACTGCAAGACCTTCTACAAACCAATTTATTCCGTTTCTCAGCTATTCGGTACTTTCCTAGGTGAGAATCTATGTGGTTAACTACTTCTTTTTAACTGACACAAAGACATCTCAGGTATTCTGAAATCCAAAATGTATTTTTATCCAACTCTGGATAGTGAGAGAAAACATTTCAGGCCTGGAGAAGTCAGTTTCACCGGAGGAGCATTGCCTGACACTGCTGATAACTGGCCACAAAATGGCTATATGACTGATATACGTGCCATAAAAAGAGCAATCTCACATGGTTCAAGCTAACTACTACTGCACAGAATTCGGAGAAATGCGACAAATGAGTAAGCTATGGTTTCGTGTGCATAAGCTTAAAGTTCAACAGAAGGCGTAGGCTAAGCATAAAACAATAAAACAGCAAATGTCACTTAAAGGTGTGAATGGACTGCCACGGCGGTTTAAAGGACAGACACGATTAGCTGAAGACATTCCAGCACGTGCAGATTATTCTGCTCTACTCTACTCCTTTTTAGTCAACTGAAACTGTCTCCCCTTCCTCTGAGGACACTAATTTTTATGAGGCTACATGAATTCTAAGTTCGCTTTCAAGGAAAGTTTCACATAGAACCATAACTAAGAGATCACATGAAAAAACACAGAAACAAATCCCTTTACATCTACCGCCCAAGTTCACAAAGTCCGACAAGATTCGATTGGAATACGGCTGATTTCAAGCTCGTCGCCACGAGCAGAACTGTGTGAAATAAGCAAGAGGAGAGGAAAGAAAACGCAGCCTGACCTTATTTCGTCGGAAGCACTGTCATCGGCACTGGCCCAAAGCTCAGCGCAGCGCTCCTGCAGGCCGGACTCCAGGAAGCTTCCCGTGGACTTGAGCAGCATGCCCGCAATGTCACTACGGGGATAGGAACAAAGTCACCCAGGGGAGGAAGTTCTCGTGCATCCTCACTGGTGAATGAGAAACTAAAAGGTTCAGCTATTGTTTCAACAGTTAAAAATGACTGAGAAGTTTTTCTCTTAATATAAGATCAAGATTAATGTGAAAAAGTGGAAATCTCAATCGTGACAGGTATCTTACCTTTGTTCTATTACCAGATAAACTTAACATCTTAAATAACAGTCATAGTAGCTATGTAATTATTACGCAATGTTATTTTCATCTTAAACAAATGTTCAAAATGATATAAAATGCCTTAAATACATATCTATAAGATTTTTTAAAAACTTAATAAGAAAACCAAGTGAATTTCTTAAATGCAACTTTTTACAAATTCGCTTCACAATTAGCTTTTCGTAGTCGATAAACATGAAACGCTCTGTATAGCTGATGCTTCTCACCGAGCATACAATCTAAGTGCCAGGTTAAAACCTGAGCGTGTAAAATAAATCTGAACAGGTCCTGCGAAATGTCGACAGCGGCTGGACCCCTACGCTATCCAAGGAGAGGGCTGGTGACAGTGAAAAGCAGCGGGCCAGCATACTGCCGGGGGCAGCCGGGGCAGGCGGGGCACGCTGCCCGCGGGAGCCCAGGAGAGGCGTAGAACCCAGTGGCAGGCGTGGTCTCCATGGGCCTTGTGGGCCCCGCGGGCCCCGCGGAATTTTAAGTAGAACAACAGTGGCAAGAGGGGCTCTGCCAGGAAGAGGATAGCAGAGGGGGAAGGGAAGTCTGGGAAGAGCGACGAGGACTCTCGGAGGGCGTGACGATGTGCTGACAAGGGGCCTAGCTGCGCCGAGCGACTGTCTGACCTGAAAGGGTGGAGGCGGGAAGCAGACAGCCATGCCGAGGAGGCCGTGGACATCGCTCTAGCTGTCCAGCCTTCGCCTGGGGTACAGGCGGTGGGCTTTGAAAATGACAGAGTAGGAAAGCGACCTGATTAGAGACACACAGCTAAGAACAGCGGTATACAAGGGTTTCCAGGACGGGCGCACTCAACAAACACTGAGTATGGCGTGTCCTGAGGGCAGTGAAGCAAACAGATAAAGCCCCTGCACTGAATGGAGGCTGAAAACAAATAAAATGAAGGAAAACACACAGTATGTCAGATATTAATAAGCGCTATGGAGAGAAATACAATAGGGAAGAAAGCTAAGGAGTGTTCGCAGGTAGGAATTTCAATTTTAAACACGGAGAAGGTGACACCCAGTCAGAGAGCTAAAGGACGTAGAGCGACGAGCCGTGGGACTAGCTGGGGGAGAGCGGTCCCAGCCGAGAGACCAGCAAGCACGAGGAGCCTGCGGGAGGCGCGCGGGGCATGCCCAGCCTGGGCAGGGCAGCACTGAGGCCAGCACGAGTGGGCAGCAGGCACGAGTGAGGAGGACAAGGACTTCACCAAAGGGCAGAGTGCATCAGGTCTTTATTGGCCGTTTTCAGGCCCCGTCTCACTTTTACTTAGTAAGATGGGAGCCACGGGCACATTTGTAGCAGAGAAGAAAACGGTCTGATGTACATTTTAACGAGATCACTCTGGCTACGGACGGTGCTGAGAATGAAGGACAAGGGTGAAGGGCAGAAGCAGAGCCATGAGGGGCTGGGGAGAGCAGACGCGCAGGTGGTGAGCACAGGTCAGGCTCCGGGCACATCCTCAAGCGACAGCCCAGTGGATCAGCGACAGAAAGAAGTCGGGTTCATTCCAAGACGGGCTGAGCCCGGGGCCCGCCTACAGACTGGACGCTGTGCTAAGAGCACGGACGCAGCCAGGATGTGGCAGAACAGTGGCGGGCCTGCAGCGGGCCGCGGAAAAGCTCTGGGCGCTTCTCGGGATGCGGGACGTGAAGGGGAAGGCCAGAGATGGCGCTGTGTACAAAATCTGAACGACAGGTAACAGGGAAAACAGAAAGACTGACGGGAGGAAATGTGGGTGCAGCGAGATTACGTGACATGAACTGGCAGTGAAACTATTCAGTCACCTTTATAAAACATTTCTTCACCAAAGCTTGAAAGCCTGGAAACAGAAAACGCAAACAGAAGCTGGAGGCAAAGCTGAACTGGGGGAGTTCAAGGGGGAGAGCGAAGGCCTTAGGAAGGCCGAGCGTGGGAACTCATCTGAAGAGGAAAGCAGGACCGGGCTGGGAACTGGCCTGCGGAGGGGGCAGGGCTCGGTCACTGAAAACGGGGCTAGAGAAGACAGAACGGGTGGTCAGGGCAGAAAACTGAGCACAAGTTTCTGAGACACCTAGCATGGGACAGAGATCGGCGTAGTGGACAATGGGTTCCTGGAGTGAGAAGCCGTGTCCTAAAGGAGGCGCTGGGGCGGGGGACACGAGCTGGGCAGGAGACTCACAGAGGAGATGGAGGTAAAATGCTATTGAGGCAGTCGGGGGAGGCGGCACCAGCAGGCGGCAGCAGCAGCGTCCAGAGCCAATGGGACTGGCCCCGTCAGTCAGCCGGGCGGTGGCCGAGCACAGGCCACTGAAATGCGCCCGAATCCACATCAGGCGCCTGAACTCCAGACACTCACTCTTTAGAACAAACAGACCAGTGACCACGGTCGCCCGTCCGTGGCTTTGTTTGTTTCTAACCCTTCACCGCATGTGTGCCCTGAGACAGCGACCCTGTAAGCAGTGTTACGGCCCCAAAGCAGCATCACTGAAAATACCTACTTCGGGGCTCCGAGTGTCCCCAAGACCGATGCGCATAGGTCTACAGGTTTATTCTGCTCTCCGGAGGCCCGGATTCTCTTCCTTCTCGTGTACAACCAAGAGCGTTTACACTAAAGCAGGATTTCTCGACTTCGAACTTGACGCCTGGCGTGGGTGACCTTTTGTAGCAGGCAGCCCTGTGCACTGCAGGGTGCTCTGCAGCGGCCCTGGAGCCCCTCAGTAGGGGCACCTCCCAGTCAGCACAATCAAACTGCGTCCAGACACTGCCCAGCGGCCCCAGGGACAAATAGGCCTGGTTGAGAACCACTGCTCTAAGGGAACCAACACCTTGTGGAGGGGCACACGACATGCGTGAATGGCTGCCGTGTCACGTGACGACACTCCAGCACAGACAAGACACTGCTGAGTGGACTGGGGCTGGGAGCGAGGCAGGCGGGCGCACGGGGTCCCTACCAGAAAAGCTTTCCGGCCTGAGCTTCTCCTCCCCGGATGTAATGGGTTATCTCTTTGGTGAAATTCCATTCTTCTTCTAACAGATTTTTTAAACTATGAGATGCTTGAGGTAACTGCTGTAGCATTTGGATCCAGCTTCTCATGTAATCAAAATATACCTTAAAATGAAAAAAAAATGCAAAAGGAGACATTAGAGAATAGAATTCAGCAACTCACAAGGTTCGCGTCTGTCAACATGAAAGCTATGCATCGGGTGGCAGGGGGAGCGTGGACGAGGGCCGCAACCTGCAGCACGAAGACGCGAGGCCTCCGTCCTGAACCGTCTCAGTGAGGATTTTTATTAAATCGTAGAAGTCGGCACCTCGGCAATTTAATGTGATTCACAATCCCTTCAAATTACTAAGAAAATAACTAAAATGTTCACAATGTATAAAAAAGTATAATGATTTCTTAAAAATCAAAATAACAGCACCCAGAAATGTTCGTTATTAACATATTGCAAGCATTACTCCCTTAAGAGGTTGGCATCTTCCTTCATCACTTACTTTAACTTTAGACGGCACCTCACGTGTTGAGAGGAGGATATGATCACACTTCGCACCATCCCCTCCTGACATCCAGATCCTTGTGATAGGATTTTTCAAGGCTCAGGACACATAAATTATGACCTACAACCAAAACACCTGACCGTTCCCTCGCGCAACAGCCTCCCGCTGCTCGGCTCTCCTGATTTCTCTGTGGCTTTAGTCGCATTTTACTCTCAAGCAGTTTTTCTCACGACAGGTTCACAACTGCTATAGTACCAAACATCACCATCTATGGATTATTTTACTGAAAAGAAAACTGGACGTGGTATACAACATCTGAGTTACATGTTCTCTCCCTCTGGACTTTTGAGGCATTATTCCGGTACTGCCTAACGCTGTGCACTAGGCCAGCATGAAGAACTCTGAGGCCAGCCTAATCTCCCAGCCGTCACCACTCTCCCCAAGCACGCCCTGATGGTGACTGGTCCTCTCTGCTGAGGTGCTCACAGGGTTCTTTCTCTAGTCGTGGGGCTCAGTTCCTTCATCAGGCGACAGCTTCAGGGTCACTGGAGTGGATGTTTTCTGCATGCTGTGCTGGGCAGGCGTCACACCAGCTCCAGTAACAACTCTCAGTAGTCAAATTTCGGGCCTTTTCTTCGTTTCAAGAAAACTGTCTTCTGTTCTCTCTGGATGCTTCTAGGTCCTCCACCCGGCTGTGCATAGCAATATCCAACCCTGGGTCCGCCATGAATGCAGCTATGTGTGTGCAACCTGCAATTTACGGGTCTACCACCGCCCTATCCAAATGAATAAGAATAATACGTACGTACCCAGGACTTCCCTTGCGCTTCCTCGGGTGCTCCTGCACCTCCACGGCTCCCCTGAAACCGGGCTGTCTCCTGAGGCCTGCACTTCTCCCTTACGGCCTCTCAGGGGGCAAGTGTCTCACTCTGTATCCCGAGAGCTCAACAGTGGGCACCCTCATGCTCCCCACTGCTACTTCCAAACCACGGCTCTTACGCAGTCTTATTTGTAAGTAAGAGATGCCTGCCCCTTTAAGATTTATGTCGTCAGACCATCAACGCCCCCTCTTCACACTGTCACCTACTGATTTCCAACTGTTCATCGCCCTTCGTCGCACTCCTGCGGGCCCAGCACCGGCTCCTTCTGAACCCTCATGCCTCTCCCCGCAGTCGTGTGGCACTGCCTGACCCACGGACCGGCAGCTGCGCCACCAAAAGAGGCCCTGCCTGGTCCCTGCGTCTGCCTGAGGCCATGACGACCCCCTTGCCATGCTTCTGTGGAACCCCGCGTTCCAAAGCCGCTTCCCACCGTGGAGCCCGCGTCTGCTGCCTTTCCTGCCTGAAAAGTCTTTCAGTCTCTCCCTCTCTTAATTAAAAAGTTAGGGGGCTTAAAAATACTCTCACAAATATCACTCCCATTACCAGTGTTATAGACTCTCTCATCGTTCTTTGTTTCAGAATGAACAAAGGTTAGTCCTCTGTCATCTTCGCTTTGGCCGTTTTTCAATAAAAAGTATCACGAAGGGAACTTCTCTTTGGTCCTCTCTTCACTTCTCTCTGCTCTCCCTTCGGAGGCCTCAGTGACCGATTTCTATGTTACCTAGTGTGTATGCTTTTTAAACAACTTGTTATTGCATAAGCTACGATGTACAGTATCGTTTTGTGTAAGTTTTCAATTTCTTACATAAACTGGGTTACAACACACCTATGGACTTTCAGAGGAACTCCGAGCGTCCCTCAGAGGAGCCTCCCTAACTCCACGTGGACTCAAGTCACACTGTTCGAGCCCAGGAAAGACCCAGGCACCTCTGCCTCGCCTTTGCTGTGGTGTGACGGTCACACGATTATTTAACCACCATTCCCCACCGTTCTTAAACTCCAAGCCGGAGTCTATGCTCCTCGCTGACTCCTCAGGAGCTGGCGTGACGCCTGCCCAGCACAGCATGCAGCGGACACCCAGAAATGCCACACCCGGTAACACCTGTCGGGTGGAAAACTGAACCTTTTCTGCCCCTTTGCACTTTATGCCTCTCCAGGAACGCTAGCTATGCCCGTCTGCGTCCTCCCGTGTGTCTTCTACGAATATCACAGCTCGCTCAGCGTGTTCGCATTTTCATCCTTTCCAATTCTTTTTATTTAGGTCTTTAAATCTGTCTACTGCATGTTCCTATATCATATGTTTATTGTGTTGGTGATTTCTAAGGCCAGGGCCAGGGAAATGGGCTAAGATGGTTCACAGCTTCAGTCTGGATCTGCTGCCTCAAACGAATGCTCACCGAGTTACTGCCTTGGACCAGCACGCATTCGCGCCTCCGTGTTCAGGTCAGAAGGATGATGCGGCGCAAAGACCCCTGGTCACCTCTGCTGTGCATCGTAACTTGCTAATCAGTGCTTGCCCTCAGCCTGGGCCCTCACTCTCATCCGCAGTCTTCAGCCAACAGGACAAGTTGGGGACAACATAAGTGTCTCCACCTCTGCTCCTTCTGTTCTGCAGATGTGCCACCTACGGCAGGACTCCTAAGGGGACGCCCTCTGCTCTTCTCCTGACCAGTCACACCACTACATGTCATAACTCTTAATTAATCACTGGTCGGGCCCTCCGTATCTAAAGTGGAATATATTTAGAGCTCATGTCCACACTCCTTTTAGTCTAAATTTTAAAGCAAATAATTCTAACAGTCTCTTTTTTTTTTAGGGGAGGTGGATACTGTGGCAAATTTCCTCCTTTACTAAACATGAAATGTTTTTAATCTTCATTCCTTTTGCTGTTTTGGGTGCATTTCAGGGAGAGGGTGCTGCCAACTCAGGTAAGCGGAGCCTGACTGCCAGCCGAGGCCATCTGTCCTTCCTCGCTGACACGAACGCCGACTGGGTTCCTCCAGCCTCAAAACGCGCCTCCGCACTTGTCCACCTGGCGCACTGTGGGGCACGATTTTAAAACCCCTGATAATTTCTAGTTCTTCATCCATGAAATCATGGGGATAAACTAAGGAAAATTATGCCTCACACAGATAATCACTAGCAAAGCCAAAACTCAACCCTAAGCATCTCTAGATCGGAACCCGCCGCACGTTTGGTAACGCACTCCAGGACACTGACACCCCACGGCAGGGAGGCCATTTGACCCGCCTCATTCTCACCCTTCCGGCCTCGGTGACGCACGGTACAAGGTGTGGCGTGGGCCTCTGTGGCCGGCAAAGACAGTGCAGAAAGCAAAGCACATTTCGTCCTTTTAAACCTCTGGTTCAGTCAACCATAGGGAAAAATTAACTTGTTTATTGCTTTTTACCATAAATTTTCAATGATAAAAACACTTCTGACATAAGAACTATATAATATTTCAAAACATAGCCACATTTTACACATCCTGGTCTTTTATATATTCTCTCAATTAGGAAATAATTTCAAACTCAAAATTACTTCCCTAACATGCGAGATGTTAAGTCCGCCTCCCAGGCGCTCCTTCCCATCCTCCACTACAGAGGCTGCAAAGCTAGACGTCTGCACGCCAGCCGCCACCCCAGTGAGAGGCCACGCGCACGTCTGGGCAGCAGGACGCGTGGCCTGGCCCACGATGCTCAGGAAGAGCTGCTGGCTGCAGTCTCCAGGCGGCTCTCACTGCTCCGGACCTGGCTGGCAGGCATACCTCCCCTTCCGCCCTCTCCTTCCCTCCAGCCTAGAAAGTCGGGTGGTGTCCGGATGTGCCATGCTCTCCTGAGGTAGGAGGGTGAGAGTCAAGTGAGGACGAAAGCATTCCACAAAACACACACCTTCCGGCTCTGCTTTGCTGTATTTCATCAGCCCGCCACATTACGTCACCACGTGTGTGTGTGCTCTAGTGCACCTGACATGTACTCACTACACATTAACCCTCCACCACTCACACGGAACACCAGCGAATAGTACGGTTCTAATGACGGCTGCTATGAGTGCAGAGGGGGTTTAGATAAAGCACATAAAAGGTTAAAAGCATCAAGTAAAGCTTTCTAGAGAGAAATAAAACTTGAAAGTAGGTCATAAGTGGGCAGATATGGAGAAGGGACATTTAGAGCAGGAGGGAACAATATGAGCAAAAGTAGAGCGGCTGGAAAGCACAGGTGAGCACAGGCAAGCACAGCGCACCTGAGCAGACTGGGGGAGCTCTTTGGGAGCAGAAATGCAAATAGGTCCGCTCTTGCCAAGTCACATTAATACCATTCCTCAGACGTGCCAGGCGCCTCTGTGAACCCGGAACCTGGAACGCGCCAGGCCCCTCCGTGAACCCGACCCGTCTTTAAGGCGCTTCCTCGCCACAGAAGCGCCCAGACGCCCCCAGGCTAGCTTGGGAGTCCCGTCTCCAAGCCTCTGGTGCATCACAGCATGATTCTAAGTCAGCGCTTACCACTCGGGGGGTGGGGGGCGGGGTGGGGGGAGTGACATCAACTCTGCCCAGCCCACACCAGACTGAGTCCCCTAGTGTCTGTCACTCCACTCCCAGAGCTGTACAAGGTCCCCAGCACCTCCCACGTCTTACAAATACGGCCGATGCCATGTGGCTCAATGAAACAGAACCGGACTCTGATTCTATTTGGGGGCCATTCTGCTATAGAGCCCACAATTAAACGACGAACCAGAAGCAGCCATGAAGCGCATGAGGCTGAAGGTCCCCCCCGCCCTTACCATGAGCATCTTGTGCAGGTCCTCCTCGAAGGCGTCCATGTTGCAGCCGGCCGCCCCCGGGCCGTGCGGGAGCCCGAGCAGCATGAACTGGTAGTACTGCTTCATCAGCAGGCCGCCCTTCAGCACCTCCTTGCACTCCCTCACCAGCTGCGGGGGGACAGTCACAGGTTCCGTCACTGCACGCATCCCGACCAGACCACGTGTTCGTTTTCACCCATTTCCCACTTAAATCCTCAAAAACTCAGAAAAAGGGAACCTCGCTTCTGAAAAACCTGAAACATTTTCCAAATTCTTTCTAAGACAAGGAATACAAAAGAAAAATCTCATGTGATGGGTCACTTTTTAACCAAAATCATAGTAATTCAAATATACTTACATGACACAGAGCATGGTGGACTCTGTAATAATTTAGTCTACCTATTGTGATTTGTGCCTTTTACCATTAAAAAAAATGTCTAGTGAGAATAAAAACAAATTAACCTGATGAAATGAGACGGAAGTCGAGGGGGGAAAAATGAAACAAATGAGTAAATCCCAAATATGCAGGCCCAGAAGGTAATGCTGGCAAGGAGGCGGAAATGAGGACCCGCGAAGCCCTCTCCAGCGGTCAGAGGCTGGCAGACAATGCCCGCAGAATGCTACGCAGCAGGGACTGTGGGCACGAGACTGCACAGCGACATTAGTTTCAATAGATATTAGTCGAGACACAAAAGGAACCTCAGTGCTGCTACTGGGAAAGTAAACAGGTACCAACTTTCTAGAGTCTAAAAATGTATGACTCACTAATCTATTTTTATGCTTTATACTCAAGAAATCATCAGAGATGCAGACTAAATATTACATATTTATCACATTATTCAAAATGACGATAGCATTAAATACATGATGACGCACCTACACAGTAGAACACTATTGCAGTCATTTAAACTCTTGCTTTTAAAAACTATTAAAGGGCGAAAACTCATATACGTATTTAAACTTTTATGTGTTGGAAGTATGTATGCACAGGAAAACAAATGAATGGAAATATACCAAAATGCCATAATGGTCATCTCTGAGTGGCAGGATAACTTCCATTTTTTATATCATTTTCTGTGCTTTTCAAATTTTCTAAAATAAACAAGAATTGCTTTTCCAAACAGAAGTTACCTTTTCAAATGTCTGAAAAATAATCAGCTTAAGACATCAAAGGCTAGAGTTAAATCTATTAAAAAGTGCCCTCTTCCCATTTATATAGAATGTCACTTACGTGCTTATAATAAGCTGAATCTTTGAATGCGTTGTCAGAATGACTATTTTTTTACTCTAGTAATGCTACACTAAACCAAGAAATGTTTTTTTTTAAATGTTTTAACATTAATTACTCTTTAATCTCCACAATAGCCCCATTAGCAAAAAGTAAACTCCACCTCATTTTACCAGGTTACATTCCCGAAGTATATGTTTTGTGAGGAAGGGATGCTAGTATTTTACCAAACCTTCGTAAATTAGCGTGGTGCTATGGAGGACAAGTGAAAAGCAGGCACAATAACCCGAAACAGGATGTGGAAGGAAGCGGAAACAGAGCTGTGGCCGGCGCTGGATGGAAACTGTAGGGACCCATGTCCAGCTGCAACAGGCCCCTCTGCATCACCTGACCGACGAACTCAAGTCCCACTGCGCCTGTCCTACGGCCGGTCCTTCCTCAGCCTGTACCTGTCCCCTACAGTGCCAGCCTGTCATCCAGAGCCAAGGAGCCCCTAACCTGTCAATCTCTAGGGGATGGACACTCACGGTCTACAAAAAACATACCAACATTCTTTCTTCAAAGTCTGAGATGTTTATTTTATATGGTGGCATCATAAAGCATGAATACCAACACAATTTAGCACTCACGCGCTGCTAGACATAACTGCTTCTGGCCGTTGGCTGTTCTTTTGTTACCCCAGAGCATCACGCCGTAGGAAATCCCAACCAAAATTAGTGATAACAAAAGCAGAAGCCATTATTCTGTTTAAACTATGCAACTGCCTCTAAGGAAGCAAAAATTCCAAACACCACCCTTTTGTATATGCTGAAGTCAAGTATCTGTTTATATGTAGCTTAAAAGACAAAAAAGTGAATTTAAAGAACCTACTTTCTCTCTTACAAATGATTTTAAGTTCCCGGTCTTTAAAGACATATTAATAGGTGACAGAGGGTCAGACCGTCCTCGTACTTTTTTTATATTCTTCTAGAACAAGGAAGTGAATGGCTCAAAGGTTGAACTACGATCTGATCTTTGAGGACTGCAGGTGAAGAACATTTAAAATTACCCTCAAAAGAACAGCTTAAAAACATTAACAAACATTCATTTTTCACCATTTGTGACGATGAGGAAAACATCCTCGAAACAAAAATTATGAGCCTGTGGAGTAATACAATAGCTGTTAAAAATTTTTTAGCAGTCTTTGAAACAAACCTGCTTAATACTCAAGAGAGATGGTTCTCCCGCAGGTCTCTGCTCCAGCCTCAACTTCAGACATTCATGTATAACGTTCAGAAGCACTCGGCAGAGGACCAAGAAGGCAGGCTCGAACGAAGGCAGGTCCATGGCCTTTAGCTCATTCCAAGACACAGTGCTGCACTTCTGCTCTGAGGACGGTGGCGTCCTGGACAACTGCACATAATCTGAGCCCCACATGGGATCTGGAACTTCGGAGAACTATGACAGAAATTCAACGAAGGTTAAAGGAGCATACAGCAGAACATTCTAAGGTTGTAGTTACAAACTACTATTCTCTATAATTTGCTGACAAATCTACAAAAATTGTAATTTTACAGGAAAAATCATCTTTAGAATAATTCAACCATTTCAACGGACCCCAAGTTCTAAAAATTTTTTAAAAACCGTAAGAAGTAAACTGTACTATTTTTATCAAAATAGTAGAAATGGAATCAAGTTCACCTTTTTCACCATTTTTTATTAATACTTAAGATGATCGGAACACTTATTTTTAAGGTTATATACACCACTATCTCTAGATTGAGAAAAGCAGAAAATTATTAAAATTAGAGAAAAGATGATCAGACCAGGTAGTCAATATGTAAACATAAAAACTAGCAGATTCAACAAATTCTTTTGTCCATGTGTTCTCCTGAGCTATACTGAATGATGCTGATAGAAAAACAGAAAAAGATTCATAAAACTGACCTGGCCGGTCCCAAATACCTGTTTTCTGATGCTTCCTGGGAACCCTAGTGCTGCTCACCCATTGTACTTTTCCCCATAAAACGTGAGGTCTGGAGCTTTCTCAGTGATCTTAAACCTCCGGCAACATCGTGCTGACCAAGCATATTCAAAGACCCTGCCCTCTCCTTTTATTCAGAAAACTGAAGCCATCAAAACTTGAAAATCCAGACCTTTCTTCAACTTAAAACATGACTATTTTAGCTATTCTTCCTCCAAATGTCATTCCTTTCCATGCTCCCTGTCACTCAAAGAGCTCTTAACTGGTCTCCCCACTCACGTTTGTTCTTATGCTCGCCGTCTAGTTTTGCATTTAAATTAACACATACGTTAGTTTCCCATAACAGGCGAAAATTCTAAATAGCCACATAATTTTTAAAATGATAACTTGTGACGTGAAGAGATCAAGTAAAAATCTGAAATTCGAAATCCGAAGTGTCAGGATCAGAACCAGTATCAGCACCTGTGCTGTATTTAGCGTGTGCGTGCGTGCGTGCCTGCGTGCGTGCGTGCCTGCGTGCATGCGTGTTCTGCTGTCTGTTGACGAGAACAAAAACGCCGGCCATTTCAGCTGCAGGCGGCAGTGCCGGTGCCCAGACGTGGTCCCGGAACGCCATTCCCAGCGAAAGGAGGGCGGGCTCCTTGAAAACACGTCAGGTTCCGGTCTGGAGCAGATGCACAATGTAAGCTTAATATAATACTCCTTGTTATACATAACTCCTTGTTACAAATACAGCACTCCCTGTTACATCAGATAGCAAGGGAGCTATCGAATGCTCACTGAGGTAGTGAAAAAGGACTTACGCCAAGAGCGCAGTGGTTAAGTGAGTTACGGTGCAGTCCTATGACACAATGGCACACAGCTGCTGAGTGGCAATGAGGGAGAGCTACACGTCCCAATACGGACAGATCCAAAGTAGAGAATACTGAGGAGAGGGGGGGTACACACCCCACAAGTCATGGAATTAACATAGCATTATCATGTTTTCTTGAAAAAAATGTACCTGCATTACATACAAAGACATATGTTTATAGGCGTACAAAAACGTCTAGAAGGTACAAACTGAACTATTTCTACTCTGAGCAGGGGTAGAGAATGCACAGCAACTTTGTTTTTACATACTTCAATAAATAAAACACAGGAAAGCACATTGTTTTACAAAATGAAGGACTAGATCAAAACAGTCCCTGTTACCCTCTCAAGTTAACTTCTACGATTCGGTGCCAGAGGCGCACATCAGAAACTGAAATGTCTACAGGCCCAGGAGTGTGACGCAGGTGGGACTGCTCAGGCAGGGCGACCAACGAGAGCAAGAACAGATGGGAACCGTGGCAACTGGAGCGCGGCAGGTGCTGCCACGTGGGAAAGTGGCCCCGGGTTGGCAGGCCTCCCAACATTTCAAGGAAAATGAAAACTCCAGATTTTCATGTGCAATCTTCTCACTGTTAAATGCTAGCCGGACACTAAGTCAAAAACATTTAAACCACTACGTGGGACAAAACAGAACATCAGGAGCCAGTGCACTGGCTCAGTTAAGAGCTTGGCTTTGTGGCCAGTTCCGGGCTCGTGTCCCGCTCTGCACAAGGATGTGCAACCTTGACCAAGTCATGTGACCAAGCCCCTCCACATATGAAGTATTCAGTTAACGCTAGCTACCAGTCTCGTGGTGATGGTGGTGGTACCACAGATCCAGTTCTGGGCTGTGGGCTGATCAGTGAGGTTCTATCCTGATCTCTTCCATCTCACATCAGGTTTGATCCAGCTGGCTCAGTGTACTCAAAAACCATGGAGCACAACTTCCTCTTTTCCCTCACACAAGTTCCTTCTTTTAAGAAAACAGAAAACCTATAGGCAGATGAACAAGTATGTGCTCATGAGCTTGCCACTTACCTCAATTAAAAAGTTCACGTAACTTTACTAATGAAAGCAGACAGGTGATGATCAGCGCAAATAAGAAATCACTTGTCATAGCCATCAATGACCACTGGTCACGAAAGGGGGCAGGAGAGTCCTGCAGCCTCCATGGTGTCCCACTGGATGGGCTCGGAGCTGCACGGTGCTGGTCTGGCTACACAAGCAGCAGGCTGGAGGTTTGCGGAGAACACCAGTGCTCAGGTCCTACCTCGGGAGGCTCAGATTCACCCTGCACCCGAGCAGGGAACAGGCACATGTCCTTTAAAAGCTCCCTGGGAAGCCATAGGTTAACATCTGGCGTCCCCAAATCCTGGGTTTGAGTCCCTCCAACTATCTACAGCTTCTGTGATTGGGGCAAGTTATCTACTCTGTACTCTGTTTCTGTAAAACATAGAAATAAAAATGCCCCTTCGTTCGGTTATTATGTCTGGCACGTGGTAAGAAGACTCAAAACGTGGCAGCTGTGGGTACTGTAGGTGTCTCTCCTAGTTTCCACATGCTTTATCTGCTCTGAACGTATGAGGCAACCTCTTCAACGTTTCGGGAGCTTGTAGGAAAACGTCAGCATAATTATTGTTAGATCCAAAGATAAACAATATTTCACTGGCCACTAAACTTATAATAATTACAGGATCATTTTTAATTCAAAAGCAAGTAATAAATAGTTACCAAAAACGTTCCTAGAATTTAAGGTAATATTCACGGTAAGATGCAAAGTCAGACAGCTAATTTTTTTGTATATTACATTAAAATATTAGTTTTCATCTCACCTTTCTCTTCTAAAAATATATAAACTTCACAAGGTAAAGCAAAAAGGAAAGAGCGTAAATTAACCATATCACAATTGAAGGCTCAGATATTTTATGGATATTTAACATTTAAAATGCACAAAAGCCACAGAACTGTACAAAACAAAGAGGAACGTTATAGTATGCAAATTCAAAGTCAACTGGGACGCTGGAAAATCCCAGAACGGAATGCAGACTGAGACCAATGAAGCTAACCATGTTACAAACGGAAGACACTACCTCACTGGAGAGGGTGAAGGAAAAAGGTACCGGCCTAACTTTGGCTAAGCATGTCCTGACTACACTGCTCTAAGGCTGAAGACAAAAAGAATGGAATGAAACTCTGTACTCTAGCTGGTAAATTCATCCCTCACAGAAGTATTGGTGAGCAATTCTGAAACTATATGCATACTGGGGTTGCACAAATATGTAAATAAACTGCAGTGATGGGGGTCAGGTTTCTCACTGCAGGAGAAAAAAGTTCCAAATAAGCAGAGGAGGAAGGCTGGATTAGAGCTGGAGAGGCCAATATGAACCCATGCTTATTTTTAACAGATAACATAGTAGACAAAAAGACAGACAGACACAGACAGGCAGACATAGATAATTACAGATCTGTGGGTATACATGGGTTGGAGGACACACCTTTATTCTCTAAGTCTATCATTGAGAGGGCATAGAAACAATGACACCCCAATAGTAACGAATGTAGCCAATGCCCAGATCTTCACTTCTAAATACCATTCTCCAATAAAAGGAACCCAAGTTCCTTGGAGAAACGGCTAATTTCAAGACTGGAACAGGGAAAATGCAAGATGATGCCAAAATGGAAGAAACTGCTCAAAAAGCAAACAAAAGGCAAAACCACATACAAAAAAGATGGTGGCATGTGTACAGGACACGGAAGCCAACTAAAAGAGCTCCAACGGCTGAAGTAGGAACGAATACCATTTGGGCAAAATAAATAACAACAGTATTGGCCTATAAAAAATAAATAAACAAAAAAAAGTAAAAAAAAATAAACATGTATGAGTCCACACTGAGATAAATAATTGACTGAATAATAAATGCGAGAGAAGAGGCAACTCTTCCATCCAGAAGAATTCCCAATGATCCATGTAGATACTCCCACTCCCGGAGCTGGAGGTGAATTCCCTCCGGAGGGTGGGCGGGGCTTAGGGACTGGCTCCCAAGAACAAAGCAGAGAAACGGAAAACTGGTAACCCGTGCAGGAACCTGGCAGATACCACCTTAACCAAGCAGCCAAGACTGATGTCACCAGTGACACCAAAATGCTACGAGGGCGCTTCAGCTCTGTGGCATTCGCGCCTGGGCCCACAGCCCCAGACTAATCATGAGAAGACATCAGACAAAACCAGATTCAGGATCATAAGGCAGACGGCTGTGAAAAACAAAGACTGAGAACCTATCACAGATCAGAAGAGACCAGGAAGGCAAGGGGACCAAATGCGACGTGACACCTTCGGCTGGGCATTGGAACGGAAAAGGCACATCAGTAGAAAAACAGGAACCCAAATAATGTCTGTAGTTTAGTTCACAGTATTTTGTACCAATGTTACTATATTAATTTTGACAAATGTACCAGAGTCGCTATTCGAAGAAGCTAGATGAAGAGCACATGAAACTCTGTACTATTTTTGCAAGTTTTCTATAAATCTAAAATTATTCCAAGATGACAAGTTTATTTAAAAAAAAAAAAAAAAGATTGCAATTGCATTGGGTAGTTTTGACATTAAGGCTAAATCCTCCATATGTTTACATAGTCCCTTGTTTTAATTTTTAAACTAAAATTGAACTGTAAATAATACAACAAAAGCCACACTTTGCTGCAATAACTGTTGGGAAGATGCCCTAACTAGTGAACTGCTGAACTAGGAGTTTTTAAGGAAGGACAGGAAGGGTCACTGTACCAGCAGTTATCTAGTGGAGACAGAGCAGGACCTGGAGACCAGAGGGTCCCCAATCCGGACACCAGCACATGCTACTGTGAAATGGTTCTCAGAGGCATTCGTTGCTAAGACCTGACATCAACCACGCTAGAGGAATTTGGAGTACAGCAAGGTGGGAGAAATAAGTAGGAACGAGATGCTGGGACGCTCTAAACAGAGGGAATAAGAAACCTAGGAAATAAATGAGTATGAAAAAGAACTAAGATCACCTCTGGGTCCAGAAAAGGAGGAGAAAATGAGTTCTGTTCTATCTCTGAGCTCTCACGTTTTTCCTCTTGCATTATTATACTGTCCTTGCTCCCAGGAATAAAACTTTGGCTGGCATTACTGGTTCAGTTACTTAAATAAGTTTCATCTCATGGGCAGAGACTATCTCATTTACAGCAGTTTCTCTAGATAAGTATTTTCGAGATCCCAACAACTATCTCACAAAGTGAACTTTTGCAAACTAATCATCTGCTAATCAGGGACTGCACATGTAGTTAAAAACTACATGTGTCCTGAGAACAGGAATTCACAGAAGCTGCAATGTTATCTAATTTTGAACAAAACATTAAGGCTATGTATGATATTCATATTATTAAAATAAATTGCAAACTTTTTTTACTATCACTAGTTGCAATTTTTTAATTTAAAGATTTTTAAATGTAATAAAATTTTAGAGGAAAATTGTTTTATAAAGCATGCTTACAAGCCAAGAGAAATTAAATATAAGATCATATGTTATTTATAAACTCTGGTTACAAGTAACTTAATCATAAAGAATAAAAATATAAAGACACAGACAAAACAAATGTCATGAGTATATTGCTTCTTTTCTACAAAATCCTTCAACTCTATTCATTACCATTATCATATAAGCCATGAAAACAGGGCAAAACAGAAAATAGGTACTGAGTACAACCTGCCGTTGGTCAAGATGTTTCTAACAATTAACAATAATGATAAAATCATTCTCAAGCCTAAAAGGTTCTGCACTGATTAACGTATCCTTAAAATATATGATTATTTGGTAATTAAAGGGTAAACACATTTTTAAAACAAAATATAGACTAGTCTAGCCCATACTGACTTATAGTTAGCTTCAAGGGAGAAAATAAAATGTAACAGAACTTCTAAAAAAACTAATAGTTCATATTTGACTTCTACGGCATTTTACTGTTTATACGAAAGTCTTTTCAAAGCCTCACAACAACCCTGTGAGGTAGGTGAGAAAGTACTGTACCCATTTTACAGCAGAAAAGACTCAGAGTCAGAAAGAGTAGGTCATTTACGAAGTTATGTGGTGAGAAAGAGCCACATCGGGGAAGGAAATTCAGTTCCTTGACTTCAAAACTGTGGCTCTTTCCCGACACAGTTGGTAAAAAGGCCAAAACAAAACCACCCGCAGGGGAGTGAACGTGTCTCCGCATGCGGACATCCACATCCGCCTCCCATCCCAGAGTGCGCTCCGAAACGGGACTACAAGTAAGACCCGGCTTTCCTCCTCAGGTCAACGAACCTCGCCTTCCGTTAGTTTGGATTAACCTCCAATACAGGAGATCGCCTACGTTCGTTCTTGGTTACCCTTTCGTTGACAAACATATTTCCTCTAGTGGGCAGACTCCTCTCACAAAAATCTCTACCAACTGAAACACGTATATGTTAATAACTAAGCCTCCCGTAGACATCCATCGCCCATGTTAAACACCTCAACCTTACCAAACGGTGTACGCTTTTTCCCTTTGACTGTTCTCACATTTCTCTACAGTTCACATCCAGAGCCGACACTAGACATGCTACTCAAAAAGGGAGTAAGCGTCTGCAGAGAATAGAGAGAGAACTATATCCATGACCTTGGATGCCATACTTAAAAATATTTTAGCATCATGTTGACTTTTTACTGACTCACATTCAGCTTGTGGTCACCCATGATTGTGGCTTTCTTCCTTCTTTATTTATACCTTAGTCTGTCCCTCTCCATCCTATATTTATATGGTTGGATTTTTTCCCCACACACACCACCTTACACTAACTCTTGTAAAGTTTTCATAGATCCATTTCCCCATTTATCACAGTACTTTATAGAAATGTTTAAATCTGCAATTTATAATAACTACCACTTAGGCCTTAAGAATATCAAGACTGGAAAAGTCCATAATAATCAACACGACACACCCTGTAACTTACAAGCAATATTGGAACTAAGGAAAAGACCACACTAATTAATGCCCACTGGAAACCTACCTCCACTGGACGGTCACTCTTTACCAGTGCTATACGTGCCCTTTGCAAGGAACCGTCCATCAGCTTGTGAAGTCTTAAAATTAACTTTCTTAACCCCATCTGCTTCAGTGCTTTGTCTACAAACGGTCTATAAATGGAAGTCAGACAGTGTCTGCTAAAGCCGGCTTCCGTGCTGCCGTCCGGTGTCCCCCAGCCAACAGAGTCGTCCTCGGATCCAAGCCTCTCCAGCTTCTTGGACCTGCAGGCCTGCGGCTGGGAGCCGAAAGAGCTGTCAGTGGGCTGTGTGGTCTCCGGAGCCCCTGGATCAGAGGTCTGTTCCTCTTCACTCTCTTCTGTGCTACTTTCCAACTCTTTCAATTCTCCTTCCATGTCCTCGCCCTCGTCTTCTGGCTCGTTGCCTTTAGATGATCGAGGGGAGGGGATTTCAAACACCGGCCAGCCGATGTCTGATAAATTCTTGATGCCCAAAACAGTGCCCATAATCCGTAATTTCTGATTCAAGTCTTTCGTGATGTTCAACCACAAGCAGAGCGCCTGCACCCTGTCCTGAAAGTCTTTCGCGGCGTATCTTTCGTAGTCCTTCTGGAGAGCCTGCAAGGATGGATAAAGTGCTTCTATGTACTCCAGCAGCTCCATTATCCGTTTTACCTGCTCAAACGACACCCTCTGGCGCTGGAGATGCTCGTGATACGTGGAGTAACCCACAATCCTTGTCCCATGAGGGGCTCTGCACTGCCCTTCCACTGAAGTACCATTAAAACTAGCTCCGTTTCTCACAAAGGCAAAGCTCCCATAATTCACTTTGAAAGTAAGGATTTCATTGATGATATCCGGTATGGCCTGCCGGGCCGTGTACAGAAAGAGGTCCTGGTCGTTAATGGTCCGTCCTGCGTGCCAGGCTTGTAGCTCTAACCAGATTAGCTCATTGGATCGGTTAAACCAGAAAGCAGAAGTATTTTCCTGTCCTCTTTGCTCCCTGTCCTTCTTCTTTGAGACTGAGGTAAGCTTTAGCAGAAGTCGTAAAGTTTCAAAAAACTTTAAGCGATCTGCTGGGCAGTCCGTCCTGGAAGTCTGGCGGGCAGTCCTAGCGATGGGCACGGGCACGGACACCGGGAGCTTGGCGTTGCTGCAGCCGAGACTGAGGTAAGGCTTATTGAGATCCACGTCCGGAATGGGTTTTTTGGGCAAAGACCCACCCACCGAGTCCAGCATGAACGAGCACTGCACGTTCTTCTTGTGGTCGCGCTCCGTTGTCCTGAGCGCGGCCCGGACCTTCTTCTCCTGCTTGTAGCTGTACTCCTCCACACTCTCCGCGGGCCTTCCGCCGTCTCTGTTTGCAGGCTGGCTTGACGCGTTCATTTTTTCTATTAAGAAAATAAACATGTTAGATTTCTTTAAGATATGAAGCTGATCTTAATATTTTCAATAAAACCGATATCCACATGTACTTATATTTTCGGGCTGTTACTGGGGAAAAAAATCATACCAGATGCTGGAAATTAAAAGAATCAAAATATATATTTCTCTCTAAATTTTTTAAAAGATTTTATCCATTTCTCTGTTACATTCTAATATTCTCTACTACTAACTAACCTAAAACGAGTTATTTACCTCGATGTTACAAAGTACAGTTATCCAGGAGTCAAATCTTCACAAGTTATCATCTTCAACTTAGAAGGGAGAAATTGTGCAGATCTGCCAGAAACCTGGTTTAGAAAATACCTCTGATTCCTGCCTTTGCCATGAACTAAATGTATTAACTTAGACCAAATCGCTTATGTTTTCTAGGTCACTTTTCTCATTTGTAAAAGGAGATTGAGGAAAGAATCCTTAAGGCACTTTAAGATTATTCTCATAAAAATTAAGAGAGAGGTGATACACAAAAATTCTAACCTTACTTTTAGTCTACTCCTTGATTTCTTCTTGGCCACAAACAAATGAACAAACATTTTAAACTTAACATTAAGAAAATGAAAGACATACAACCTAGTTTAGTATAATTTGCCTAGTCTACTATACTGGCACATAAAATCATTAATGCAAAGAAAGTAAACACACTTCTCCTTCAAACAACTGTAAAAAAAAATTCTACAACTTTAATTCCCAAGCTTTGACGTGAACGCACACACGCACGCCGCCTCCCTTCCTGTCTGGCGTTTCTGACACCGCTCACCCCCTCCACCTTACGAAACCACTCCTTCCGCTGCTTTCCAGATACAGCACTTGGGGGCTCTCTTCTCCCTAAAGTCACCCCTTCTTAAATCCTCTCCGTGGAACTCTGCTCACTCCACGACAAGCTGCTGCGTCTTCAAGCTCCACTCGCAGATTTCTCCTGTCCTACCTTCCTGCCCCTGAGTGATCACCTCCACTCCCACTTCAGTAACGCCCACCCTGTAACGCCACCACGCGCTCTCCTCCACACTCGACAGACTTTGGGACCCTCAATCTAGGACACGCGTTTTGTATCTTAACATCTCTAAAATTAGAATATGTGTCATAATTAGTAGTGATATGAATAAATGTTAGAAACATATCCACTAATATATCATTTATATTTTCTTATATATGAGTAACAAATGGTTTTCTAAATCTATACCTAAATATTAGCATAGTTCTTTCAATAAAATAAAAATAAAAGTTCTAAGTATAAGAACAACTATGTCTTCAACTGTAAGCATTTTTCTTCTTAGTACATAATAGTACAGTATGCCTTAGATTTGATGAAATATTGTATATGAGTTACAGACTAATATACTCAAAATCAATTCTCCAGAGAAAACCTGTTTAAAAACAATTTATCTCCTAATCAATTACATTAAATTCGTTTTAAAATAAGAATTTTAAAACAAATATTCCTAAGAGCACCTCTAACTTGATTCACAGTATATTTCATTTCCTTTAGGGCTGATTCCTCATAAAGGGTTTATGGCTCTAGGGATTTTTGCTTATTATAATATAAAAATTATAATTTATTTTTTTAAATAGCAATATTTTTACATGATGGGTTTTTTATCTGAGTTCTAATATATTTTGCTTCAGAATATCTTAAAACTTTTTATACAGTCCATTTAAGCAATTTCTTCACAATTTCATTGTTTCTAGCTACCAATGCTTATCAATCCTCATTCATAAAAAATATACTAGGCCAGCCCTTTGCCCCCTTTGCCATTTTGTTTACTGGTATTCTTTATATCTTTATTAAATAGCACACCCACAACATTCACTTCTACCGAGTAAAACAATGGTTGTTTGAAAGCAAAGCTAACAAGTGCTTCTAAATTTAACTACACTATATTTTAACTATACTATATTTTAACTACACTGTATTTACTTTTAATACACTGAGTTTGATATGCCAATGGGACATTGTGTAGAAATGTCTGTAGGTAACTTATATACGAGTCTTGAACTTCGGAGAGAAATCCAGAGATATCGATTTGAAAATCATCAGTATGTATTAGACATTATTTAATACCAGAAGAATACATAAGAACATCCAAGAAAAGTATGCAGAAGAGGCAAAGCAAACCTAGTACAGAATGTTGTATTAATCAGTATATGCATCCAAATAAATGCCACAATACCATTTTTCTGTATAGACAGAAATTTGGGCAAGCCTAAAAAACTAAATTTTGTAGATTATGTACAAATCTTGGTAAGCCTACCTTACCCACAGCATACGAAATAATATATTATACGACTTCTTGAAATTGTGTTTACAAAAAGCCGTGGCTTAGTATTTGGAGCTACGATGTGTGTAAAGAAAAGCAAATAGGGAAAGGAACAAGATGGGACAAAGAAGTTATTTTTTTTCCAAAACAAAAAGACCAAGTTGGTTTTAGGGGAAAAAAAAGAAAACTGATACATCTTCAAAAAGATGTAATTAATCTTAAAACAGACTTAAACCCCGATCTTATTACTGTGAAAAAGACAATACTAATCTATCTATATCGTCGGGAGCTATGTTTTTCAAATAACACACTTATGATGGAGAGAGGAAAGCCATCGCTGGTGACCAAGTAGGCCTCTATAAAATCATAAGGGACCTGCCAGTTAAGGGAGACCCGAGAAAGCATTAGGGTGTCGAAAGAAAGAGGTCTGTGAGGTTAGACACAGTAACTTCCCAAGCACGTAATACTTTGTCTTTACCACTGTGACATGAGAAAGAAACGTTTAACAATAGTTTAACAATACTCAAGAGCCCATTGTCAATGAACAGGTTTTTTTGTTTCATTTTCTGTAAATACTAAATCCCTCAGTAATTAACAAAAAGTCAAATATAAATAGAGCTTCTGAAAAGGAGATGAATTCCCCACCATGCACGCTTTGAAATGGCTCTTTGGAACACGTATACAATGTAGTTGGTATCGAGTCCTTGCAATTCTACTGTCCTCTCATACATGTATTGTCAAACTCAACACGCTGGCCTTCCTCAAGCTCTCAAATGAGAAAGCATAAATGGATGTCTGTTCTTCACCTTTCAATGTGAGGTGATCATCAGAGCAACGATCCAGACTATCAAACATGGATGTCAGCAACCTGAAGGGGCTTAAAGATCTTCCAAATCGAGGTTCTCGAATTTCCATAGGCGTTAAAAATCACTCGGGTTCTTGCTAAAATATGGATTCCTGGGCCCAGTCCCAGTGTCTCTGATTCGGCATGGTTAGAATGACACTATTTTGGGAAACACTGCTTTATTCAATCTCTCATTTTCGAGGTAATGGCTTTACAGAGATTGTCATAATCTTCACAGTAAGATGTGATGAAGATCACCACAGGACACAGATGGTGAAGCAGATGTCAGCACAGGGCTCCTGACCTACACTTATACCATCACGGCGACCTTACACCTCTCAAAAACTGTTCACAGGGCAGGACCGACGGACCAAAGAAAGGCTGAGACACTGAGTTCCATAAAAGACAGATTACAGTGGGCTACCTGACCTGTGAGGGCTTTAAGTAAGACCAGGTACTTGGCTGGGGCCCTGAAGAATGGATCAGCTTCCCTGCGGGCAGTAAGGCAGGCAGAAGAGCATGATGACGCAGAGGCAGAAGAGAACAGTCTGGCTGGAATGGAGAGTCTAATGATGCTATATGTTTATTTTTTTGTAAGTACTAAAAATATTTAAAGAATCATGCCTACACATCAGTTTATGACAATGGCTACCGCCTATCATAACTAAAAAAATAGTGTTAATGGTTACTCTCACCTCTTTTCAACACACAGTGCCCTCCGTGACCCTTCTGCATCCTTATATTCCCTCAGGGACATTCCTGATGTCGTTTCTGTTTATGACGGAGAGGGGCTGGAGGGCGCGAAGACAGTATGGCGCCCAGACACTAATTCCCCAAAGCCTTACGCGCAGGTAGGAAGTGGACTCTCAGATCACCGAAGAACCAGACCTTCGGGTGCAGATGCCCTGTGTGGTCCCCTCCCAGGCTGGCTGGCCCTGTGTAGCCCAAAGGATGCAGCAGGAGTGATGCTGGGTGACCCTCCAGGCTAAGTTATAAGAAGCATTCCAACTTCTACCTCGATTTCTTAAAAACACTTGCTCCGAGGGACGCTAACGGCCATATAGTCAGTTCAATTACCCAGGAACCAGCCCAGGCGAGCCATGTCAAAGGTCACATGGTAAACAACAATGCCAGCCCTCAGCCCAGGTGCCAGACCGGGGAGAGGAAGAGCCCCCTTGGATTAAGACCCAGCAGACGCCATGTGGGGGACACCTGAGGGACCAGGCTCAGGCTTAGGGCACAGCCGAGCGATGACGCCTCCAGTCGACGGAGCTATGCTGGACATGAGCTGCGTGCTGCCTGCACACCTGACCACTGCAATGCAAGCACAATAAACCGGCTGCTTTTTTACACCACTAAGTTTAGGGGTGATTTATTACACAGCAATAATCAGAAAAATGCAAATATTACTGATGACATTTATTAAAAAATGAGTCTAAGTTTGACAGCAGTTCAAGAGTGAACAGTATGATTCAGAGGGACCGTGTTTGTTGCAGCGAGAAGAAAATAATGTCCCAGTTCACAGTTTCTTGGAAAGTTTTTAAGGTAAATCTGACCAACTAATTAATTCTGAAAAGCTCTTTAAAATACTGAGGGACCAATATATTATTATGAATCATAAACCAGTTTGAAATATTGGTCTCCCTGACTCCACTTTCAGATCAGAGCACAAAGGTCACTGGTTCCAGGCGTCTTCCCAGCGCCAGGGCCCTCCTGGCCCTCCTGCGGGTGCTGGAGGCAGCCTCTGCCGTCACCCTCCATTCCAGGTCCACCACACAACATCACATGACCTGCTCATCTGCGTGGTCTCTATGGAGGACGGGGCTACGGCTTACCCAGTATCCGAAACAGCACACGCCCCAGCGTCACTCCAATTCTAAGACAGAACGAAGGAGAAATAAGGGAAGAATGGAAGGAAGGAAAGAAGGGAATGAGAAGAGGGGGCGGGAGGAAGGAAAGAGAAGTAAAGGAAAACAGGAAGGCAAGAAAAACTCAATGAAAAAGTAACTATGGTGACAACATCTGCAGTGAGGAAAAAAACAACGGCTAGGAAGCGCGACAGGGAAGCGTGCAGTCTGGGGAGCGCTGGCCCAGGCTGGAGTCCCGATGCTGTAGCTCAGGAGCTGTGCAGCCTGAGACTCAGCGTCCTGACAGCAGGGACACCGATTAATACAGACACAACCAGCATTATAATGATCTAATTCTACATTAAAGTTTAAAATTGAGGGCAAGAATAAAAGTAATAAATATCGAGGAAGAAATCTTCAGCTTACAGTAATAATGACAGCTAATACTTATTGAACACACAATCCTCGCAGCACTGTAAAGCAGATGATTTTACCGATGAAGAAAATAAGACAAGAGGCTGCGTGCACAGGAGGTGGCAGAGGCAGGATGAGGATCCAGGCGATAGGGCGCCAGCCCGTGCCCCGCCCTCTAGCCCTGCTGCACAGGTCCAAAAGCAAGGACGTCCTCGAGGACTTTCTGCTGTCACGACAAAAACACCCCATCACCAAAATGTCGAACGGCCACCTGCCTAGCATGGCTGCTTCATTTCCATCTCTTCTTGATGTTTGTGAATAAGAACAGTGGCAAGAAACAACTTACCTGATGGCAGACACAGGAAGCTGCTTTCCAACAAACACGTGCCTGGGCCATTTGAAACTGAGGACCCTGGAAACTGCGCTAGTTCCCCAAACGCAAACTGAATGTTCTGCAGGACCTACGCCTCGGTAGGTTATCACAATATTTAAAAGAAACTCTTCTGAGGAGCTAAGCGCAGTGATCAGCACATAGTAAGCGCTCAACAACTCTTAGTGACAGCTGGGCAAATGCTGCGATAAACAATACAGCAGCCATTTAAATGAACAGTGCAGGTTATCTGATGACATGAAAAGTCCGTAAAGCATTAAACGAAAAAAGCCAGTTATGAAATAGTAAATATTGTATGACAACATAAATACAGGCAAAGAGAATACAAGGCAAAGATGGTAAAAGTTACTTCTGCTGCTGGGTTTATGGATTTTTTTTTTTTTTTTTTGTATTTTCTAAATTACCGAAAACAAATCTGTAATCTTTTGCAATAAGAAAAAAAAATAAGTTACCAAGGACTCCGGTGTCCCAAGTCTGCTCTGAGTTAGCTACAAGGCTAGTTTATGGGCTTTCGCGTCACCTGAAAAGTGGCAGGAACCGGAAATGGTCTCTGGGACCCCTTCCAGACCTACAATTCTGTAATTTTATGAAGTAAACAATGGAAAGAAGTCTAGAAAGAAAAGAGATGACCTTCCCTCTTTCTTCTATCCCCACACAGCCCAGAAGGACGTGGGAAGCTCAGCAAACGCCTGGTGCCTGGTTTGCTGACTGACGAGTGAAAGACGGCCCGGTCGGCTCACGTATCGCGTTCGGGATGAGCCTGGCGCACGTGGCCTGCACAGGGAAGAGGTCCGAATCGAGGAGCAGGAGAACCAGTTGTCACCATAGTCCTGCCACTAGCTCAAGCCTCTAGGCCTCAGTTTCTCAATCTATGAAACGGAGAGACTGTGCTCTCAACTCCAGCTCTAAAATCACACGGGCCCACGAGTGAAGAAACAGCAGATGTGCTACTGAGACCCCCTCACGTCACTACCACAAAGCAAACACGCACTAACTAATGCTGACTCAGGAGACGCTGCTTCAGTGCTATTTTAGACAAGGAATTTCTGAAGGCATTTGAAAAATTTGAGAAAATGGATAAGGACTGATTTTAAAAATGACAAATAGCAATAGGAAGCTATTAATTTCCAAAGAGGGTAAGTGCAGGACACAGGTTAACGGACTACTGCAAATAAAATAAAACGAAGTAAAGAATCATCTTCCCTGTGGGAAAGACAAGTTACACCCGGAATTCCTCCCTGGACAGGGCCGCATTCAAGCAAATAAATACGATAAAAGCCATTTCTCTTGCCTCCCTCCTTGAGGAAGGGCTATGATAAGGACACAGAGGGAACCTGCCCATTGCGCCGGTGAGAGTCCACTGTGCGGAAGGCTGTGGGAAGCGGGACCTGGCCGAAGGGGGAGGAAAACATGGGCCAAAGAAAGGGACAGACGACAAAGGGCTTGATTTCGGCAGGGAGAACACGTGACGGGGGGGATTTCTCAGAAAAGACAGAAAACGAATCCCTATTTCTGCCGTAACAGATGGATGAACTCCAGAAAGCGATGAGACCAGTTTCAGGACAAGTGGTCTGCTGAAATTAACTGGGACACTGTAATACCTTAGGCTTCAGTGACCTGAGGTTCCACACCAGAAAGCAGGGCACAAGGAGGCAGCAGGTCAGCGTGATTCAATCGTCTACCTCAGAAAGAGAACGGCTGTGCGTGCTAGGAGGAGGAAGTGAAAACACAGACGCTCCCCGCTTCCAGGAGCTGCGGGGTCCTAAACAAACAGCAAAGCAGAGCGCAAAAATCTGTCCATGGTCATGAGGTGAGGGGACCATGTAGGCACTGTGCTCAGTGAGCAAGGGCCCCACACACTCAAGGGGCAGCCTCCCGGTCACCGGCACGGAGCACAGGTCTTGGGCTGGCCAGGGGACCCTGGGGGAGAAAGGCTGGCTCTGCCTCCCCCAAGTGGCCACAGGTGAAGTCTGGCAGACACTTCCGCCTAAGAGATCCAGAGGCTAAAAGATGGCCATCTACAGCACACAGCAGAAGCCAGCCTGGATGAGCACACCGATTCATCCACAGGTGGCCTCTTTCACAATCTAGAAGAAATACAAATGCCTCACATCATCGACTGTAACAATCACTCAGGACAAACCTTTCTATCTCCTTTATTAACAATAACCGTAATAATTCAAAAATTTAAAATAAGATGTAAAAGTGGCATTAAAGTCAAATTTAAAATAAAAGGCATAACTAACATTACCATAGGAGGATCCATAGTTGCTTGTATATACCAAGAGCACCAAGCCCTCTCCTGCACTTTTTTTTTTTTAGGCGAGGCAACCCTTGGTTGACCTCACAGATTGCAAGGACCTTGTCAGCTTATAATCCCTTATTTTTTTTTCTTTTTTTTTTTTTTTGCACCTAGAGCACCTAGTCTTCCTAGGTGGTCTCCCATCCAAGGACTAACCAGGCCCGACCCTGCTTTGCTTCCGAGATCAGCCGCGATCGGGCTTGTTCAGGGCGTCATGGCCGTAGACTCCTTCGTATCCTTTTAAGAATAAGACCTACCTTTCAAATTAGTTCGACTGGCGGGCCTCCCTATATTGTTCCTTTGGTGTTTGGCCGACATGCGTTTCATTTGCCGCGGCGTGCTGGGGGGCGAGGCACCATAGAGGTTCTCCGCGTTCGTTTCGTCCGAAAAGTCCTCGGGGTCAGATTCGGAAATCCTGCAGGCCGAGTCTCGCAAAGCGCACTCTTGCCTGTGAAGGACAGACGCGGAGGAAATATTCAGGAGCGTATAATGTGAATTCAAACTCAGAACTCAACTTTCTGATAAGAACGCCTCCTAGAGCGTTCCTGCGGCCATGTCCCCTCCGCAGCACGGTGACCTGGCCGTCCTCTGCACGCGGAAGCCGAGGGAGGACGACCCTCTCTCCGAACGCGATGACGGCGACGCCGCCGCCGTCACCGCGTGGGCGGAACCGATGGGCGGGTTCCGTTTGGAAGATTCTTTCTAAGAGTTTCAAACTAGAACCTTACAGATGAAGGAAAACGAGCAAAGAACTGAAAGACACGAGTCGGACGGCACCGAGTCCGCGCTTGCGAGCCAGCGCGGGCGGCCGCCCAGGGTCGCGGGGCTCCTCTGCCTCTCGGAAGCACAGACAGACAGACAGACAGACGGCGCAGGACGCTCGGCCAGGCCCGCGCGGCAGCCCAGCGTTCAGTGTCGTCAGACGCACGCCACAACGCAGGGCTCGGGAGAGGGCGTGGGGAGAAGGCGGTGCGAGGAGAAAAAGGAATTTGCTTCTCTTCGCTTTCGACATGCTGTTCCTCGCGAGCCTGCTCTCCGGAAACGCGACCTGCCAAGGCTCGGTCCCCAACCAACTTCTCCAGTGATGATAAAGGTTCTGTTTGCAGAGCTAACAACAACAACAAAAAAAAATGCAGCGCTATAAACTAAGAACAAATACGATTCCAAATCAGCAAACTAGCAGGAACCAATCACGAAGTTCCTTTCAAATGCTCATTATCACCGTCTACCCCGATCTGAGCATTCTTTATAAAATACACTTCGATTTTAGAAACATCACTCTAAACTACATCCAAAGTCCAACCAGTTTTTTCCTGGCAATTTATATCCTGATATAAAATCAAAGCTACTCAAAATCACACGGTAGAAAGAAAAATCACTAAAATCTATGAAACCACTATTATTAAATTAGACTGAAATAAAATTTCAGAAAAAAAATCTTTCAAAAAATAAAAAGGTTGCAGAACTATACAAATTTACAGTACTGAAATCTTCAAAGAACTGCATTAACAGGTCAAAACTGATTTTTTAATCAGCTAAGACCACTAGATATTTGGAGTACATATGCCTCACACATGTGCACACACAAGTGAAATGCGCTGAAAGCTAACTAAAACCAATTAAAGCGGAGCAAATTTAGAAATAACTTTTAAATGCACCTATTCCCTTAGGCTAATTATTTAAGTCTCACGAAGTCATACAACAAATAATATAACTTACAGGTTGACCTGAAATTTCCTACATCCACTGCTTCTACACGCACTGCAAAACAGTCGATTCGGCTGAGGAAAGGACATGGTTACCACGCCAAGGTCACGAATTTCATTCCCATGTTTTAGCAGTTACTAGCACAGGCTTTGGAATGATTAACAGCAAAGGCTTTGTGGTGTGAGGGACTTGGATTCAAATCCCGCCTGTGCTCGTTACTAGCTGTGTGGGCCTTGGCCAAATTACTTAGAATCTGCACTCTGCACATTTACAAAACAAGTATAAGTACTTAGACCCCTAATTAAATCCAATAATGCATGCTTAACAAAGGAGCGACAACAGAGCAAGGGTTCACTAGATGATGGACACTAGATGATGGTCACCGCACTCACCATCCACCATGAGAACCTGAGTTCTTTAAGCATCTGCTTAACATGAAGAGGGAAGTCTGCCTTTGAGTTCAGCATGACATAGGACCAGAAACCATTTTAACATTTTTAACAATTTCTAAATTCTTTCAAATTAAATATTATAAGTCTTTTTTTAATTTCCCCCTAAGATACAGTAAATGGTAAAAAAGGACTTTGCGTTTATTTTACTACTTTTCTATCTCCCGTAGTTTCCAGCATAGTGCTTAAAACCATTTAGTGTTTTCCACAGTGATATGTTTCACATATTAGAATGGTCATCCTAAAAGACTACAGCACATTTAGTCAGTTAAATAAACCGAGCCGGACAACAGGGAAAACCAGGATGAACCGAAGAATGGAGGTGGACGAGAAAGGACAAACGCAACCTCGTTCAGAGCACGCCCTCTGCCGGGGACTCGGAGGCCTGGTTCCCGCCTACCTACCAAGTGGTGGCCACGCATGACCTCATCCTTCTGAGACTCAGAACAAGGCTGATTTAGACTCTGTAAGGTCAACACTGTAACATATTTCAAGAAGTTCAGTTGTGAAGAATAAAAAATAACCAAAACAAAATAATAGAAATAAAGGGCTATGTGGAAAATACTAAAATACCAAACAGGCATATAAAATTGTGTGTTTTACTAATATCCCGCAGTACTGAGTGGATGAATGAATTTCAGAAGTGCAAAATTAAAGTGGAAGAGGCTGTTCTGAAGAGAGACGGAAAACGTCCAAACTTCAGTGAGCCGGGTCCCCAAATGGCAAGCACCTGGACCTGAGAACAGTCATGATCTCAGGACAGGGGAGTTTCTCTTCTTAAATAAATACACTGCCTGATAAACATGGAAACAAGTCCTGTGCTTTAATGAATAAAAAGAGTGTAGGTAAGCACATTTAATAAAAATATAGTTAACTTTTAAGAATTTAATTTGAAGAAACAGAAAAAGATATTTGTTTTATACTGTCGTCCAACTGTGGATGTGGAAAAATTCATCTGGTTGTAATCTCCAAACAAAAGCAGAAAAACCACTGTAATAATTTCACAGAAGCTGAAGGTCTCATTTTCAAACCTACATCTATCACAAAACAAAAAGTCATCTATATTGGTCTCTACACCTTCACGCACACATAATAAACAGACTACTGATTTCAACGTATTTCCAAATTATTTAATTATTCTAACAGCAAACAAAAAATCACAAGGAAATGGAGATAAATACTGTTAAAATATATTAAAATAAGATACAACATAATATATTTTATCTCTCCTTATTCATTATGCATCACAGAAAAGGAGGTAGGAAAAATGCCATATGGTACTGCTAGCCACTATATTTACAATTCATAATTAAAATGAGTTTTAAGACAAGCATTACACATAGGTGAAGTTATGTACTGAACACTTTCTTAGGATTTACTTAGCTCAGGCAAGATGGCATTCACACTTGTCGAAAATGTTATTAGTTCACATTCCGTCCAAGTAACTTAGTAATTTAATTACATGTCAAAACAAAGTCCAACATTATTTAGAGAAATTTTAAGAGAAAAGTCTAGCACCCTATAAATAAAACTCATAATACCTGATACCCTATCAAAAATTACCAAAGAAACAGGAAAATATGACCCAAACCGGGGGAAAAATCAATAGAAATATACCAGATATGACTCAAGCAGAACCTAGAGAGATGAAAAATTTCCTGAAATGAAAACTACTCTGGATGGTATTAAAACCAGATTAGACACAGAAGAAAAGATTGGTGACCTTGAAGACACAGCAACAGAAACTATATAAAATGAAAAAGAGAGAAAAAGATTGAGAAACAAAAATGAAAAAGAATAGAGCATCAGTAATCCATGGAGCAGTATCAAGTAGTTTGACATATGTGTTACTGGAGCCTAAAATGAGAAAAGGAAGACACGGAAAAGATCTCTGAACAAATAAGGGCTGAAATTTTTCCAAATCTGAAGAAAACCACAAGCTCACAGATCCAAGTAACTCAGCAGACTCCAAACAGAAGAACTATAAGCAAACTAACAGTTTCTGATTATGACATCAAAATCTTAAAAGCAACTGGAGAAAAATAACCTAGTTTTGGAGCCTTAGCTGAGAAGTAATACATAATGGGGCGGGGAATCAAGGAAAAGTTTATTCTTTCCTTAAAAAAAAATTTATACACAAAATCAAAGAAAAGAAACATTAGTGGTAAATTCAAAAGAACTTGCATCGTTTCAATTAACTGACCAAAAGCATCCAAAACCTCATTTTGTATTAGCTCATGTGAGATGAGCTAATGTGGTCAGTTGACTGGTTCAGAGCATTTCCATGGATACCAACTATTTTGGATGAGGAAAGCAGTGCAAGGTCTATATCAGCTGCCCTGAAACATACGCCTTACTTGTGTTTAAAAACATGCAAATGTGAAGTGTCTTTCTGGTATTAAACTTCTCACAGCCAAATAAAACAATGTTTCACTCTTTTAACATAAAACTTTGCTAAAGTACTATTCACTTGACATAGAATTTGGTCTAAGAAAAGTATGTCTTGAACTCAACCCAAGGGAGTTTGGTGTCATTTTTAAATAAAAAACGTGTATAAGACAAGAATTCAAGTTACTTGGGGTTAAATAGTTCTGCCCTGACATAGTAGGTAACCCACATGGGGACTAAAATAGCCCATCTATAAAATGATGAAGCTGAATTAGGTGAGTCTGAAAACATCTGTGGTTTTGCAAAAGCCCTTAAAATTAACTTTATTAGAAGTTCTTTAGCGAAATCCTTAAAAACATTTTATTTACTTATGAAGCACAGTATCCATCTGCATAAAGTCCCCTCTACCACCTCCCCCTCCCCCATTAACCTATTCTCCACCATGTAAAAATCAAAGCAGGGCGGGGAGGCGGGAAGGCAGGGAGGGAGAGGTAGGCAGATGGGGTGGATTTTCCAGGTTTCTTTTTTAAGACCCTGTACAGTTTGCTGGGCCTGCAGTATGCATCAAAGGGAGCTTCACTAATTTCGAGGTTGCATGGTTGTTTCATACTGTGAGAACCAATTAATTAATAAGTTAGTTGATCTTTTAATCAGCCTATAGCTGAGCATTTATCAGCTAACCTCCAGGTGAGCTGTTGTCAAACCTCAAGCTTTTCCCACATTCATTATTTAACTTCTGCATTGATTCAGAGTATAGGGTCTTCGCAGACCTAGTGAGTCTTGGTTATTTCTCAGGACGGACACTCATACTTTTTTTTTTTTTAACTAAAATTCACCTTTTCTTAAACAAGTAGCTATTAAAAAAAAAAAAAAGTCTATGGAAATGAACAAGAAACTATCCCCA